CCAATTAAAAATCCTGAAGCTGAACGTCGACTTGAACAAGCAAGAAATGATAATCGAAGTTTAGCTCAATTTGGTGAATATCGTGATCCATTATTTGATTATGTTGGGTTTTTAGGTGGTTCTGATTTTGAACCACATGTTGTTGATAAAGGAAATAATCAAAAACAATTAGAAATGACTCTTGGCATGAAAGATTATCGACCACAAGAAATTAAAGTATCAGTTAAAAATAATGAACTTATTGTTCAAGGTGAACATCAACATAAAGATGCAAATCGTTCAGAACGATCATTCTTCTTTAAATCAACAACATTACCACCTGGAACACAAGTTGATCACCTTCAATCGCATTTAACAGCAGATGGTCAATTAAAAATTGAAGCACCATTTGTTGAACACAAAGAAGCTCCAAAATCAATTGAAGGCCAAAAACATTAATGACATATACTTTTTTTTTTTACATCTTACTCTCTTTTTTTCTCTAGCGTATTAGATGACTATCTGATAAAATAAAAAATAAAATGGACAAATTATCTGATCATTAAAAACAATTGTTTTGTTTTTATTAATTGCTTATTTCCAGTAGTCACATATGTGATAGTGAAGAATTTTACGTAGTTTTTGAAGTTCGAAGATTTATATGAAACGGTTTACTCGAATATTCAGAAGATGCTAAACAAAAAATTGTTGATATGTGAACAATAAGCGTTCTAAAATCTGATGTATTTGTTGACTATTAATGTATTCGATGTAAGTTTATCACTAAGGAACTATCAACGGCAAAAGTATTGTGAATTGTATTTTTGATATTAAATATATAGATTATAGAGAGAACAATTTTATGAAGATAGATATGAACAATACAAGCATAGACTCTTCCATTATAATTAAAAGTTTAAAATGAAGATACAAAGTGTTGATATAACGTCTGATTCTTTTAAATATGTTTATTGAACGACACGTGTTGATAAGTTAATGTATACATCATCAGCCGCATTCTCTAATTCATCTTGTGATTTCTAATTCTTTATTTTAATTTTCTGTCTGATAATGTTCCATACTAGGTCAGTAGAGTTAAAATCAGGGCTATAAGTTGATCATTCACATACTTCAACATTATATTCTTAATTGGAGAATGTAATCACCGAAGCATGAAATAATTTACACACAAATTTTATTCAAAAATGTATTGAGAAAAACACAAATGATATATTAACACTCTGTATCTTTATTTTAAACTTCTAATTATATTATAAATGTCTATTCTCGTACTATTCATATGTATCTTAATAACATTGTTCCAACCATTAACTCTATATTTTATATCAGAAATATGATTTGCAATGCTTTTGTCGTTGTAAGTCAGATGCTGGAAATTGAAAATTTTGATTTTCAATTTATTTAGTATCATTAGATAGAGCACATCGAGTTACTATTGAAAAACTACTCTTCTGATTTTTGGAAACAAGTTTTTTCTGGGAATTTTGGAAAAAAGACTAAATTTTAAATATCATGATTCGAGCCTTCCATTATCATAGATATGTACATTTTTTTACTTTGTAGAACATTATAAAGATTATTTTCTGATTCTGTAGAGAAAATTGACAAAAAAACCTTATGTACATAAGATTTTTTTCGGTCAAATTCGTCTACAGAATCAGAAAATAAATCTTATAATGTTCTACAAAGTAAAAAAAAACAGTACATATCTGTGATAATGGAAGACTCGAATCATGATATTCAAAATTTAGTCTTTTTGCAAAAATTTCAGAAAAAACTTGTTTCCAAAAATCAGAATAGTAGTTTTTCATAGGTAATTCGATGTGTTCTATGCAATGACACTAGATAAATTGAAAACAGAAGTTTTCTAAAATTTTCAATTTCCAACATCTTATAATAAACTCTGACATTAATAGAAAATTATTTCGAATCTTACATTTTATATAAGTGATAAACATTTGAATTCTATTTTCAAAAAACCGATCTTTTAAACTCTGTCTTTTAATACAACAAAAAAATCTTAAATTTGATATTCGGTTGTTTTTATTTTTGTTTTATGAAAATATTTCAACATGCCCTTTTTAAATAAAACCGGCACTAATAATCATTTTCGTTCTTTTTGTTTTTTTTTTGTTTTTATGACAACAATACTAACAACAAGAAGATTAAAAACGGTTGGTTTACAAAACAAGAAAAAATTGTTTTCTGTTTTTTTCCATAATAATTATTATGGATGTTAAATATTCTTCTGTTGCTATTGCCTTGTTAAATTAATTTAACGATGTTGAACTTCAAATACTCGTATTTGATTATCAGTAAAACCAGCAAACAATGTTTGTCCATCAGCTGACCATGCCAATGATGTACATTGTTTTTCTGATTTGACTTCATCAGCAACTGTTTTCGTTTCTAAATCCCAGATTTTAATTGATGTACCACTTGCTAGAAAAAAAAATTAATTAATCAAATATTTTAAAATATAATGTATCGTTGTCTTTTTTTACCAGCACAAAGCCAATAACGATTAGGTGAAAAACATAATGAATTAATAATATCACCACTTTCAAGTGTATATAAATGTTTTCCATCATTAAGATCCCATAACATAGCTCTACCATCACGACCACCACTAGCACATAATGAACCATCGGGTGATACTGTAACTGTATTTAAATATGAATTATGACCATGATGATTTGTACGTAATTTGCAATTAGTTAAATTCCAAACCTTTATATTTAATTTAATAAATCAATTATAAAAGAGAGAGAGAGAGAGAAAAACAAAGATATTTACTTTGACAAGTTTATCCCAACCAGCTGATACAATAAGTGGATCTTTTTGATTTGGACTAAAACGTACACATGAAACCCAATCGGTATGATTATCGTCGACAATTGTATATTTGCCTAAATTCAAAAAAAAAAACAAAAGGAATGATATTTTTCTTAGACATCAATTGTGATTTACATTGTCCAACTGTATTCCATAATTTTATTGTTTTATCTCGACTACCACTAACAATTTGTCGATTATCAGCCGAAAAAGCGACACTCAATACATCTTTTTTATGACTAACAAATTGTCTTGTACTTGTGCCAACAGATAAATCCCAAAGACGTAATGAACTATCCCATGAACCACTAACAGCAAAAAGACCATCACTTGATATAACAACATCCGAAACAAAATGTGAATGGCCACGTAATGCTTTACTTGGTACACCACATGATGTACTTTCACCAGTTGGATCATGTAGATTATTTAATTGCCAAATTATAATTGTTTTATCTCGTGATGATGATAGAACTATATCAGGAAATTGTGGTGTTGTTGCTATTTGTGTTACCCAGTCATTATGACCAACAAGAACGCCTTTTAATGAAAGATGTTCATTTGACATTGTTTGCTGTTTTTTCTACTGTTTAACAAGAGATGGAAAAGAGATGCAAAAGTCTAGAAACAAAAAAAACATAACGTAAGAAAATTTTAAGCAATAAACTAGTCAACAGAACAAATAAACATTATATTTCCACTGACTATTGCTTTACTCTACATACGATAGATCCAATAGTTATATTAACCAATGAATAAATGAATTAATACGAACAATTCATCATATTGACAACAATTTCTCTAGAAATGCAAGATATTACTTTAAAAACACTTTCCTTTAAGAAACTTTTTTTTTATAATTTTTTCTAAATTAGTCTTAGAAAAACTGACTTTTAATAAAATTTTCTCCAATTCTACTAGATGTCGCTAACGTATGGCATGATGTGATATGAGTATACGCGCACGCGCTACAACCGTTGGGGGTCGTTTCTACTTAATTAAAGAAAAATGCCTATATCTACTGAAGCACGAAACACCACATTGTTCACGTAGGATATCTTAGGTCAGGATTCGAGTATATCCTGGAAATATTCGCCATAAGACTGGCTCCAAAAGAGATCGCATTGGCTCCAAGTAGAACTCGACGAGCTCTATCGCCTTCAATAATTACTTTCTCCAAAGCTCTCCTGAAACCGGAGAAAAGTCCAAAATACCGCAAAAAAAATGCTAAAAAACCCATATAATTTAGAAAAATCCGTCACATTTTGTTCCGGAGTGGCTCCAACAAAAACTAAATATACCATTCGATAGATCTCGACGAGCTCTATCCAATTCATACATCACTCGTCAAATTCGAGCAAGTCATCATCGAGAAAATCCCTAATTAGTCCTTTGTTCATAGGAATAATGGGATAATTAAGGATTTTCTCAGTAATGCTTTGCTCGAGTTTGACGAGCGATATGTGAAATCGATGGCGCTCATCGAGACCTATTTGGAGCCATCATTAATTTTTGTTGAAGCCGACTCGTGAAGGTATTTGAAAGGATTTTCCTAAATCCTTCTCACTATATCTATGAACACAGGGTTAATTAGAGATTTTCTCAATGATTACTTGCTTGAACTTGACGAGTGAGGTATAGAATGGATAGAGCTTGATGAGATCTATCTGGAGCCATCATTAGTTTTGTTGAAGTCAACTCATGAAGGAGTGAGAAAAAGTTTTTCGGAAATTGTCCTATGTGTATATATGAATATAGCAGCTATAGAAGTAATTAGCGATTTTCTTGGTGATGACTTGCTCGAATTTGACGAGTGAAGTGTAGATTGGATAGAACTCGTCGAGATCTATCGATTAGTATGTTTGATTTTTTGTTGGGAGCCACTTAGGAGTGAATCGCTGTGGATCTTTCTAAACTATATGAGTTTTTTCAGCATTTTTTGCGGTATTTTAGACTTTTCTCCGGTCTGAGGGAGGCATTGGAGAAAGTAATTATCGAAGTCGATAGAGCTCGTCGAGTTCTACTTGGAGCTAATGCGATCTCTTTTGAAGCCATTCTATTGGCGACTATTTCCAGGATATACTCGAATCTGGACCTAAAATATCCTACGTGCTTATTCGAACCTGCATGATGCACATAGTCCCAATTTAACAAATAATTGATCAGCTGCAGAACATTTTTCGTTGGTAGAGCCCCGCATCAGACGCAGCGTTACTAAAAGAAATTTTTTCTGAGTCGGAGTTGAAGTTACATCATTGAAACAGTCAAGTGTCTTTAATCTTACATAGCAACTAGTTTATGTCTCATATGTTAAGTAATGAACAAAAATATACTACTTTATAGATACATAAATAAGTTTCAATAAAAGAAATTAGAGAACTTCTCACTAACAAATAGTACAACAAGAAATACATAATGGCTCCAGAAATTAATCGTACAGACTCAAATACGATTTTTCTGTAATTGTAATTCGCATAAAAAAATCTAAATAATAGTTTGAATGGAGAATATTATTTATAAGAAGGATTTGAGTGAAATAAAAACCTTCACAATATTCTTAAAATTCAGGATTTCACAGAGCAATAGAGCAACTGATTCTGTAC